AAGAGAAGGAAAATTGGCCATGAGAACAAGCAGACCACAGCACAGAACCAGGGTAGAGAGTAGAGTTGGATGAGGTCATTCTTTGACAACAACAATGACCGAACACCTATCTCTTCTAACTACTTTGAGTGGCTGTTGCTCTTTATCCAGGATAATCTGGCCTCACTTCAACTGTCCTGTCTCATGATAAGACTTAAGACATCTAATTACCAAATGTCCCAGCTTCTGGAGAGCAGCCTATGCAGGACTGACCCCTGCTTCCCTAACCCTTCTTAGAATCTCCCAGCACGCACGCCAACCCCCCGGGGGCTCAGGAATATATGCATTCTCTGTGGCCGGTAACAACCCAAACTAAATAAGCCCAACTTGTATCATAAGCGTGTTCTTCATCTGTGGTCAGTGGGCTTCAACAAGGCAAAAACTGTTCAAATTAGTTGCTTATTTTTGTTTACTGTTTCTCTTTTATAATTATCATCTGTCTCACAGAAAATAGGAAGGGTAAATAATTAAAAAAAAAAAAAGACCCCATGATTATAACAACAAAAAAGAAAAAATTCTTAGGAAAAAGCGTGGTAAGAAATGAGTTTATTGATGTCCATAATAGCCAAAATAAACACAACAGCCAAGAAAACTCTGAAAAAGAAGAGTAGTGAAGATATACTAACCCTAAAAAATAATAAAGCAGTATAGTGTTGGGGCATTAATAGAAGGGTCGATGAAAAGAATAAAAACCCCAAAAGAAGAACCCAAAACACTATACCTAAGGGGATTCAGCAAATAATGAAAGAGGCATCTCCAATCCATTGGGGAAGGTAACTGTAATGGTTAATTCTATGTGTCAACTTGGAGAGTGTGTTTGGATGAAATGAACACTGAAATCAGTCACTTTGAGTAATGCGGGTAGGCCATCAGTTGAAGGCATGAATAGAGCAAAAAGACCAGCCTCTCCAACGAAGAGGGAATTCTCCAGCAGACTGCCTTCAGACTTCATCTCCACCATCAGCTCTCCTGAGTCTCCAGCCTGCCGCACTACACATTTGGGACCTGTCAGCATCCATAATTGTATATGCCAATCCCTTACATTACATCTCTTTATCCTAACAAAATACATACACACACACACACACACACACACAAATTCTGTTTCTCTGTAGAGCCCTAACACAACAGCCTATACAAGAGAAGGCACTTAACGACCTAGCAAAGAAACAATTAAGCTGGATTAGGGTAAGTGAAATGAAAAATGAATCCATGAAAATACTACAAAATAACATGGGAGAGTTCCTTTGTAAATTTTGGAATACGGAAGTCTCATACTCCCACTAAATAAAAATCCAGAGCTCTTAAAAGAAAAGATTGCTAATTCTGAGTACACAAAATTTTTTTTAAATTTAAAAAAGCCCCTCTGCATGACCAGATAGATAAATAAATCATAATTAATGTCAAAAGATAAATGACAAAATAGGGGAGGGTGGTTAGTAACTCACAGACAGAGATACAGTCTCCCTATATACATATATATATATAGTTTTATTAAATCAATTTTTAAAAGAGCAACAACTTAATAGAAAAATGCAGGATAAAAAGATATGAATTCACAATAAAAAGGAAAGGAAAAGCAAATGCTTTTAAGTATATAAGACATTCAACACAGAACAAGATAAACGCAAATTAAAATTACATTATCAGATTGACAAAAATCCAGAAGTTTAGCAAACCCTGCTACCAGTATATGTACAGGCAAACAGGGACTCTCACATATTGATGGTGTGAGTATAAATTGGTACAACCCCACCCCAAAGGAACAATCTGGTAGTATTTACCAAAACTAGAACTGCATCAGGAACTTGTCATACACATATGCTTGCAAATTTATGAAATGAGACATATACAAAGTTTATCGTGGCAGCACTGTTTGACTTGCAAATAATTAAAAATAGTCTAAATGACCATCAAAAGAGAACTGGTTAAATATCATCATGGTATGTCCATAAAATGAAAGGAAGCTATGAAAAAGAATGAAGGGCTGCTTTATGTCCTCCTTTGGCAAGATCTACAGAAACTATACTTCAGGGGGTGGGGGAGGAGGATGACGAAGAACAGAACAGTGTGTATGGTACAGTCACCATTTGTGTAAAAATAGAGTAAAAATTAAAATACGGCATCTTGCTTCTTTGTATAAAGATCCTCCAGAAAGCTGTACAATAAACTACTAAAGTGGTTGTCTGGCAAAGGGTGAGGTCGGTGGTGAAGCAGGGGGAGGACTGTGCTGGGAGATTTTTATTTGTATTCTTTCCCTTTTACTTTTTCATCTTCGAAACATATGAATGTATTGATGATTCAAAATAGAACACTTTAACAGATGTTAAAGACACAGAATGAGATATCTTAATGGAACCCTAAAATCACTTTTTGTATCAATCATATTAACAAAAGCCACAGATTATCATTTGCTGATTGATTCCCAAATATAAAAATCAATACACCATGCATGCTGTTTGGAAACAAAAGGAAAGGCTGCAGAAAAGAACGTTTCGTCTGTTAGGAACTACCAGCTCTACCAGCTCACTACATTATATATGGTTGAGCTTCTTTGGTTTTTCAATGTATGTGAATTCAGAATGACAAATTCTTATTATAATTCAGTTTGATTTTGAAAATATTCTGTTGGTTATTTTTACTTTGTTTTGGGATAGAGTTTGAGGGGATTACGGTTTGGGGAGGCAATAACCACATCTAAAATGCTAAATCTTATTTCCTAGACAAATTTTCCAAAGCTATCCGAACACCTAACTCCCTAAAAACCAAAGTTGTTCCTATCACACAAGACCCTCTGATTCAGCTACCCAACTGTCTCTGACTTCCACCTCGCCGTCCCGTAAGGACCGTAATGAAACTTAAAAAACACTTAGACGTTCTACAGGTAGGGAGCATGAAAACAAGAAAAACTTTCCAATGTAGTTTGAAGAATTTTTGTCTTCTTCAGAATACACAGAAATGACAGTATTTATGTCAGAGAGTCATGGTTATAGAGACAGTATTTCCTACCATATGATTTACTACATTCAAATCAAAGAATAATGGTACCAAAGCATAAAATAGACCTAAACGAAGCACATTAAAATAGTATTCATTAAAGTAAGATTTCACCTGTAGTATGCTTTAAATATTTAAATCTGAAGGATATTAAATAACTAATTGCCATGTGGTAGAAGTCATCAGTGAATGCTTCATAAAGGAAGTAAATTTGAGCTTGGTCTTGAAAGAAATGACAGGCCCTCGGAATCCTTAATCAAACGGGTTTTACAGTCAGAGATTCATTTTAGCACTAAAGTAAAATGACTAATGTAATCTCTCATTCAGTCCTTCTTAAATTTTGATGGCATGACAAAACATTCTGTCTACCCAGAAGTTCAATAAGGTTCGGAAAGCCCTTGAAAAAGCCTGCAACTCTATATATCATAAACCCAGATACCAGTCTCAGTTAAAAAAGAAATGATATTGGAAGGTTATTTAATTCTCCCACATCTTAATAAAAGACTAGACCAAATAACTCTGAAATAATATACATTCTTACCTCTATACATCCCTTTATATAATACCAGAATTTTTGACAACATATGCAAAAAACAAGATTCTACAGGATCTTCGATCTCAGCTGTTGTTTTAACATGTTTTGTTTAAAGTCATAAATTCTCGGGGTGCCTGGATGGCTCAGTCAAACACCTGCCTTCAGCTCAGGTCATGATCCCAGGGTCCTGGAATAGAGCCCTGCATCGGGCTCCCTGCTCGGCGGGGAGCCTGCTTCTCCCTCTCGCCCTCCTCCCTACTTGTGCTCTCTCTCTTTCAAATAAATAAGATCTTAAAAAAAAAATAAAGTCATAAACTCTCTTTAGAACTCTTGAATATGTGGGGCACCTGGGTGGCTCAGTCGTTAACCGTCTGCCTTCGGCTCAGGTCATGATCCCAGGGTCCTGGGGTCGAGCCCCGCATCGGGCTCCCTGCTTCTCCCTCTCCCACTCCCCCTGCTTGTGTTCCCTCTCGCTGTGTCTCTCTCTGTCAAATAAATAAATAAAATCTTTAAAAAAAAAAAAAAAGAACTCTTGAATATGTCATATGAGAAAAGACTCTAACGAACCCAAGAAAATACTTAAGAAATCAGCTGAATTAAAATTAAGCTTCATATATTTATATACCTTGCTTAGCATCAACAATCTCTTTAAGATGTGCAAGACATGCTTTAAAAACTGAATAACCAAGTCACTGTCTTCCCTCTCTTCACTACAGCATCCCATGAAAGATTAAGAAAGAAAAATATGAAATGTAGAGTTACATTCTGATGCTTATGACTAGAAGTGCTACGAAACATTTATCTGGATTCAGAATACAAGTCCTGAGCTCACAGCACCTTTTAAGATCACTCAGTGACAATCTCTAAAACAAGATGAGACTGAATCATTTTATCAAATGCATATGTACTATTTTTCTACAAATCACATAAGCTGAAATATATGGCCCAATAACATAAAAGAGTATTTAATGAGGCTAATTTAAACTACAAACTGCTTAATATTCTTAAAGTACATGATTCCCTTTAGTATTTTAATATATTGTAATTGAAGTGATTATCTGTCTATGAGCTAGTTTAAGAGGAATAACACTACCAAAGACAACACTGTTTTGATATAGTAGCACTTATCATTAAAATAAAAACAAAACAAAAAAGCTCAAGATAAAAATACCATGAAGGTGGCAATGAGCAAGATTAAATGATCAATAAAACCATTTTTCTGCATGAGTGTATTCTTCCCACTCCTCAATTTCAAACATCCATCCATAAGCAAACAGTTTAGATTAGGTTCAGTTTTACACTTTTCTCAAAACTACATTTTTTCCCACTGAGAAGAGAATTTTTTAAGCAGGACAGGAAGAGGACTCCGAGCCCAGTGTGGCAGACCTGGAGGACAGCTTGGGGGCCTGGGGGCCCGTGGGGCGCTCACCTGCTGCGGCTGGTACCTTTGCTGGGACTGGGACGGCAGGTACTGGGCCTGCGGAGGGAGGTGCGGAGGCTGCGGCTGCTGGTTGTAGTAAGGCTGCTGGCCCTGCTGACAGTAACTCACACCTTGCTGTCCATACTGAGGTGGCATCTGTCAACAAGTCAAGCAAAACAGGCGAGAAAGTCAAAATGGGCAAATTCAATGAAATCAAACTTGGTTTCGATTCAGCAACATGAAGCGGGCTCTTTGCTAAGCAACTGAATTCAATATTTTTACTCTTTTCTCCATTTACATAAATCGTCATACTGCCTTCTATTCATATATTATCAGTGTTGACTTTTTAAAAAATAAGATTTCATCAGATAATCAAATAGTGATAACCTCATTAAAATCCAGTGGGGGGGGGAATCTCCTAATACTGACATGAAAAAATAGACTCTGCTGAGTTGGTGAATCACTATATTGTTCACCTGAAGCTAATAAAACACTGTGTGTTAAGAAGAAAAAATACCCTCTGCTAAGAAAGTCGTTATGTTAATCCATTCTCCTGCAACGCTCAAAATTAAAATGAACTCCCACCATCCAAGCCCACTTACTAATATTCTGTAGGATGCTTATGGCCTGGCTACATGTATAGGGCATAGCTTTGTTTCAACTAAGGTCAAAAAGTCCCAACTCCATAGGAGCAGGCACTGTACCAGTTACATTAGCAATTCCATATACAGTTTTTGCGAAAAAGAAACTACATTGCTTTACAATCAGATACAACCCTTTTAGAAGATAGTACTATGTATATAACCCAAATATAACCAACAACATGAGTTCTTAAAGGAAAGATAATCATATCTAATATTAGAATAGTATTTTCCTACTTGATAAAACGGGTAATGGTGTAAAGCAAAGTGTGCCTGACTGCAAATGGCAGATAGAGACAAAAATGGCCTAAGTGAGCTGAGATTCTCCATCTGTAATTTACATGAACCTAAAAGTCCTTAAAAATATTTGCTCAAAGAAAAGTCCTTCCTCATGCAATAAATAAACCATGGATGATATTTTTAATTTTTTTTTCAAATGAAAAATCTTTTTTTTCTAATTGGGAGAGAGAGCAGCAGAGAAAAAGAAAAACAAGGTATCAGGATGGCAAAAAGCACTCCACAGAGGAGGATAGTGAAGTCACCCTGTTAATAATACAACATGGTCCACTTGAGAATCCCAAGAACTAGAGCCCCATAAGCCCACACAGTTAAGAATTCAGTGATCAGTTCCAGATACATATTTTAAAACGCAATGACTACAAAATACTGAACAAGGAAAAAGGAATGGTAAAAGGAGGAAAATATTAAACACTTCGCCTCTAAGACCAATTAGCACAATAATTCGTAATACATACAATGAAGTAAAAGGGGAAAATGCAAAAGCTAAAGTTCATTTTCTTTGTGACCCGATTTAGATTACTGTCAAGGCCTGTCAGCAATGATCACAAACATTTGGCCACAAGGGCTCACAAATGTCTCATCACACAGACCCTAAGTTAGTAGAACAGACAAGTTTGTATTGAAAACCATTTAACTGCACAGTTGAATTCTTTGCTTTTATTTATTTTACAGCTTGATATCTCATAATGAATGTATGTCCCTGCCATAAGCCAAGCCAAAGAATTTCCATAAAATACAACTCCACATGCTAGAGTATCGTATACTACCACAACACATATCCTTCCGTTCAGCACCCATATGTTGATTTGATATCTAATACTATATTTCACATAAGCATCTTTGCAGTTTGATTTGAAGCAGTTAGGATAACACTTTTGCCAGTGTTAAAATGACTGTAAAGCTCAATCAACACAGCCAGAAACTCCCCTATGAATTGCACTTTAATATGTTGACTTTCTGGTTTACAGAAACCTTTACACACAATATGAAAGTGTCGTTTGGAGAGGAGGTTCTATTTTCTAAGACAGACAACAACAGGGCATGTTGTACGCAGCAACTAACACTAGAGCAGCCCTGAACTTATCAGAATCTGTTACCACCTATTCCAGCTCTGAAAAGCTTGGGGACAAGTTGGGGTGCAGAGGAGGCATGGTAGGGTGGGTGGGAATGTAAGCAAATTTTCAACAGAACCACAGCACCAATCCACAGAGCACAGCAAACTTCAGAGGAGAAACCATCAAAAAACTTTTGCTTGGAGATTTTACTACTGTCTTCCACAATTAAAACCCATTTGCTCTCCTTTTAGATACACGGCCTAATTAATTTGGTACTCGCCTAATGGACACCTCACCCTCTGTGAGCCTGGGATGAGGTGATTTCTAACCCAGTACAATCGGGCCAGCAGTTAGAACTGGGTCCCAGTGCCAATCTACTGAATCTGGTCTGCTATCCTTCCGTGGAAGCCACACTGCAACAGAGATCACTAAATTGTTGAGCGAAAAGTCTCTGGGTTGGAAATGCACGAGATCTAAATCCAAGTCCTACTGTGGCTCACTTGTGTGAATGTGGTCAATCAGGTAACGATTTCCGTCTCACATCTCCATCTATAAAATAGGGCTACTTTCTCTATTAATTCATATTAGTATTATAACCAGCAATATAATAATCCTACCTGGAATGCTACACAGATGCTATTATTTATTAAAGAAGTTGTAGAGCTATCTCTAAAATATTAATTATTTCCTAAGTTTTATCTTTAAAAATCAATTTCTAAATATAATACCTCAGTTGTCTACAACTAGTCTAATTCTTTAATGATCAATATTGCTTTTGTTTTAATCAATTTAGATGCAGGGCTTTCACAGATCTATTATATGCTTTTCTGACATCTTAAACCAAACAGTCATTATGAAACATAAATCGACAGACTGAGCCATAATACACTGAGAGCCTCAGAGCCTCTGGTCGAAAGCCATGCACACAAGCCCCACAGGGTAACTCTGGTCTCCCTCTGCCGTCAGTCTTACCTGCCACCAAGGCACTCAGCCATGGCTCATCACTCTGACCTCCATCCTGAACAGAACCTGCTGAGGACTGAGAAACCCATGACAGTTAAAAACAGGAAGGCCCAGGGAAGGATGAGGGAAGCATGTGAGCTTTGACTGCCTCAAGTTTTGCAAAATCAATTTTGGTTACTACGAGTCTTCTTGTTTATGTCTTAGTTCTCAAACACACTCAGCTAAATAAGATTACCAGAATGCTGGATGCAAGGGAAATTTAACCAAGAGTTACTGAGCACCAGGAACCAAGTGAGGGGAGTTGGGGTCACAAAGCACTTCTAGCTCGGATAACACCCGCTCCCTGACCAGCCTAATGAGCACGGCCCCAGTTGTCTTTCTCAGGCCATTTCCAATTTTATGTTACCACAGGGGGGATGATAGGACTTAGTTAACGCCTTAATTATGTGTTGTGTTTACCGTCTGTCCTTATCACTGGACTCTAAACTCCCACATTCCTGGAATGCCTCCTGGAAGAGGGACTGCCAGTGACTAAATGTTTGTTGAATGAATGGATGCTGTTCAGTGGATTACTAAATCAAGTGATTATTATATAAAAAATTAAACGAGTGAAGGAACACCCCATAAAAATGGAAACACTTGCACTACACAACTCTTTGAAACACATATGTCCAGCTTCATCCAACAGCCAAAACACTGAACTTCATGCTCCCAGGCGCACAGCACTCTCAGCTATTAACTGCCAACCCTCTAACCCAGCGAATGTTCTGGACCTTTATCATGGTTTGAATAAAAAGATCACTACACTAAACTAAATGGAAATCTCCAGAAAATGCTTGAGATCAGAGCTTTTCTGTTATCTAAAAACAAGAAAAACAAGAATTTATTTCACTCATTTCTAAATAAAGAAGATCTTAGAGTGGAGCATGAGCACACATAATAACAAAAAATTTATTCCAATTTTCCAAGAAATATGAATGCTTTCATATGTTATTGGAGAGATAAAGTATAGCAAAAAATGATTCATTTAAGTATTAATTTTAGGAAATCACTCTGATAAAAAAAAAAGTGAGTATTAACTTTCATATCCCTGTATCATTTTAAATATGCAGAAATTCCGGGCCCATTTCTCAATTTACCCTACCCTGAACTCTTTGCTCATACTTCAAAATTAAAGAAATAATCAATGTTTGTCTTCTCTCCCGTTTTCTTCCTAAAGAAGTTTTAGAAAACCATTTCCTCACCAAGGTGCACTGACCCTCTGACCCAGCAATTCCCCTTGTAAATATATACCCATGAAACACTCACATGTGTCTGAAGAAGGATATTCGATGCAATGCTATTTACAAAAGCCAGAAAGAGGACACAATCTAACACAGAACGTAAACGGAAAAAAAGAGGTTTTGCTATGGCCATACAATGGAATTCTATACCGCAGTTTAAAAAAAAAAAAAAAAGGTAGTAAAGCCTACCTAGCAAAATGGTTCAAATCCAAATAATATAATGCTGAATTTTATTTTAGGATTTTATTTATTTATTTGACAGAGACAGAGATAGCGAGAGCAGGAACACAAGCAGTGGGAGTGGGAGAGGGAGAAGCAGGCTTCCTGCTGAGCAGGGAGGCCGATGTAGGACTCAATCCCAGGACCCTGGGATCATGACCTGAGCCGAAGGCAGATGCTTAATGACTGAGCCACCCAGGCGCCCATAATGCTGAATTTTAAAAAGCAAGAAAAGAATGCAGCATAATACCATTTGTATACATTTTTAATACACAAAATACTATATATTGTTTATGGATACATACATATAGTAAAAGTACAAAAGCATGCAATGGAAAGGTAATACATGACATTCTCTGGAGAAGGGAGAGGATAAAAGATGGGGTGGGGCTTCAGTCTTGCCTTTTTTCCCTTTATAAAAAGAAGGAGATAATGAAGCAGATGTGGCAAAACGGTAACACCTAACAATCTTGGTGTAGTTACACAAGTGTGTTATATTTGTTTCTGTGCTTTTTTGTATCCCGAAATTATTTCATAATTTAAAATTCTGAATACAGATGTCACCTCTACCCTATCCCACATCCCCCCTGCCCCAAAAGCAGAGGCATGGAAGCTGCTCCAGCAGGCACACAAGGCAAGAGACAGGCCCCAGGGGAGGGTATGGAGAGGAAGATGCCTTGTTGTGCTGCTTTATT